AAAAATGGGGATTGGGGAAAGGACGGCCTTCTTCTGTCTTAACGATCTTAGCTAGCCACAAACACTGACCCAATCATACAAACAATATTTCTTACACCAAAACAACACATTCTTACGTACCTTTCTTACTACATCCACCATAATACCTCACTGTCTCTAGGAACATACTAACTAGTCCCGATGTGTAAAATTCATTGTCTGTGGTGGGGGGGGAGGAGAATAAAACAACAATTCAAAAAACTAAGCCTAATTATTTACAATATGAAACAAAACTATTTACAAGAAACTAAAGAAAATAATGTTAGTAATAAAAAAACCCACAATTACCAAAAGAGGAAAGTTCATCACAACAATTACCGTGAAAGTATTTATAGAAATATTTATAGTACTGTCTTCTCATGGGACTGGTAGGTTCCTAGTGCTGTTCATCTTGGAGAGGAGATTGATATTGCCAAGTAAATCATAATTCCCTTAGACCCTACTAGATCATAGCATAGAAAAGCAAGTGAATTGACGGTGTACATGTTTTTTGTGTTTTTTTTTCATCTGTTCACATATTGAATAGATAAGGACGTCTTTTGTTTTTGTTTTATTTCTAGACTAGCAGTAGATCCCGGCGTTGCCCGAGGATGTAACAGTAAGAGATAGATCAAGTATCGACCATCATAAAGACTGAAAAATAAAATTGACAAAGATTATTGTTTAAGGTTGACGGACACGCATGTCTTAATTAGTTTTTTTTTGTTTTGTTTTTTCTTTTCTTTTTTTTTTACGAATTGGTCAAACCCAAACTCAAACAAAAACATCGTTTTCAATCGTTATAAGTCAACCGATTGAATAGCATTTTATTATAAACAATTGTCTTGTAAATGGAATTTTTAAAGCATTCTGAATGTAAAAATAAAGAAAAAAGTGTGCAAGACAATAAGAAACACTACCTGCCAAAAAAAAGTGAAGCTTTGTTGAAATCGGTTAAAAAATGTAGGAAATCCGATCCCATATATAAACGAACACACACACACACACACACACAACCAAGCTGGGTTTTATAATAACTCGATAACACGATATTAATAAGTATAACTCGATATGAGTTGTACCCCTTTCATTAATGCCTCTTAATCGTGTTTTCAAATTGAATTCGTGCAAAAACAATTATGTTTTTCCAATTTTTGGCGCTGTCAGAACCACCGCAAGGTAATTTTACGTAGTCCTGTGAAGTTTTGTTGAAATCGGTTGAAAAATGTAGGAAATCCGATCCAATATATAAACGTACAGACACACACACACAATCTGCATTTTATAATAAGTAAGATGTAGTATAAACTACGGCTTTTCTCTGTGAGTTTGAGCAGATGGAAATGTTTCGAAAGGAGTAGTCGAGATAAAAATGATAAATGATTTGCAGTGCGTCTTAAAGTTGAAACAGTTCTAATCATGATATGGCTGTGGTAAGTGTAAAGTTCTGATGGTTGAGCTACCATGTAGCGTAACAGTTAACCAAATCTCTTGACAATAATAAACAGCATTGCCGGTGAAAAATGATGCAATGTTTATAGGGTAATTGTTACCTTGAAGGGTGTTTCTAATGCTGATCATCTCCTTTTGGTAGATGTCTGATTCGCCACTTATGAATTTGGTCGGATGATGTAAGCGTCAAAGATGGCAGGAGAGCACCACTGTAGAAATCTTGTGAGTATAAAATCAAAAACGAGCAGGATAATTTAGATAGAAAGTCACCTAATTCGGACATAAAGTTCTGTATTTGTAACGTTTATATTTTCTGCTTAACTTGAACTACGTTATTTCTGTTCTTCGTTTTTAATGCTTTAAGTTCACAAGAGAGAGCATTGTTAAGATTCAGAATATATACGTTTATATTACATTTCTAACATTTTTTTTTAAAATTGTGTTGGCAAAATCTGTTAGGAAATTATTGATCGAATTTTTTAAAAAAATTTATTCGTTTATTTTAGCTTAGTTTAGTTTAGTAAATTCATTTTACTTTGGAGATATAGTTTGACGGTGAAAATTTAAGTGCATGATGATGGCGTCACGAAATTAATAATTAAACTTATTCACAAAATTTTCAAATTGGAAATATATACATTTTCAGTCAGTTATGTGCCATGCGTGGTACACGCTTAGGCGATCATGTATCTTTTTGGTACATGACTGACGAGGCAGATTGTTCCCGCAGTAGGTTGCTTTTTCTTTCTGTGGTAGACCAGTTGCCATCCAAGGCTATGGAACCTGTCCACTATAACTCTCAGTAACGTTTTACTATTTACTATCTGTTCTTGGATATATATCTTTCATAAAAAGTTTAATAAAAATAAACAGTTTAAATTATTACAATAATATTATAGTTCCCGTTCCAGCCCCCCCCCTTCCAATTGTTACCCCCCCATTTGGGGATGTACTTCAGTTACACCCGAATGTTGTTACTAATATTGATTTTCGAGTGGATGTATATCTTTTATAAAAACTTTAATAAAAAATAAATAATTTAATTTATTACAATATTATTATACAGTTCCCTTTACAGGGTTACCGCCACCCCATTCAAATTGTTAACCCCCTCCTCCACCCATTTGGGGATGTGCCTCAGTTGCACCCAATTGTTGTTACTAATATTGATTTTCGAGTGGATGTATATCTTTTATAAAAACTTTAATAAAAAATAAATAATTTAATTTATTACAATATTATTATACAGTTCCCTTTACAGGGTTACCGCCACCCCATTCAAATTGTTAACCCCCTCCTCCACCCATTTGGGGATGTGCCTCAGTTGCACCCAATTGTTGTTACTAATATTGATTTTCGAGTGGATGTATATCTTTTATAAAAACTTTAATAAAAATAAATAATTTAATTTATTACAATATTATTATACAGTTCCCTTTACAGGGTTACCGCCACCCCATTCAAATTGTTAACCCCTCCTCCACCCATTTGGGGATGTGCCTCAGTTGCACCCAATTGTTGTTACTAATATTGATTTTCAGTGGATGTATATCTTTTAAAAAATAAAAATTTATTACTTTAATAAAAATAAATAATTTAATTTATTACAATATAAATAATTTAATTTATTACAATACAGTTCCCTTTACAGGGTTACCGCCACCCCATTCAAATTGTTAACCCCCTCCTCCACCCATTTGGGGATGTGCCTCAGTTGCACCCAATTGTTGTTACTAATATTGATTTTCAGTGGATGTATATCTTTTATAAAAACTTTAATAAAAATAAATAATTTAATTTATTACAATATTATTATACAGTTCCTTTACAGGGTTACCGCCACCCCATTCAAATTGTTAACCCCCTCCTCCACCCATTTGGGGATGTGCCTCAGTTGCACCCAATTGTTGTTACTATTATTGATTTTCGGGTGGGCTGACTTTAAACTTAAACTGTTCCAACTGAACGGTAAAAATTCCCAGTTATAAAATTCCCGGTCAAAGTCGGGTTATACTGCTAGTCATAAATAGATTTAAGTGACCATATAAATAAGTTTTTCGTGTTTAATAAAGAAAACAAATTCTTTTTTTTTTTTATTTTGATGAACATTATTAAGTATATACATTTAAGTACAGGTGTAATTTTGTAGGCCATATATCATAGGATAGCCTTCGTAAATCGATTTTTAAACACGATAATTTCACAAAACATTCCATATAGTCACAATGTTTACATAAAGATCGATGTGGTGACATTATGATAAACTCCAGTTCAATTAGTGGTTGAGGTTGTATATTTCCCATCAGAATCTAATAAAAGCTGGGATTTTAAGTTCCAATATCAAGGTAAATAGACAAGACTACCTCACTTAAAAGAATAGTGAATAAAAGACTTTCTACGAAGCAATTTTTGATGCACCCCGTAAAGATATAACTCACTGTACTCTTGAATGATCTGTGGGACTATCTTGCAAATTATCATCAGTACTTTCTCGATTATCCAGACACCTTGAGACAGGGGTTGGGAAAATATATTCCGGATAATTGAATACTTAAGTTATCGAAAAAGAATAAAGAAGAAAGAAAAACATTTTTTTATCATCAAGTAACATTTGTTCAAGGTTTTGTCCATTTTATTTATTTATTTATTTTTTATGAAAGAATACATCAATTTTTGTCTGTTATCAGACGGCACACTTTTTTTTCTGCCGCTAAGTTCCGAAATTATATTAAAGACGGTGTATTTGTAAGGTTCGCTTTTGGTTGAAAGCGCGGCCAACTTAAACATTTGTCAAACATGAATATTGCTGACTGTGGAATTCCTGATGTTGCATTTTGCCCTGATTTCGGCTTCTGGGATTCTCTTCAGCACCATGTCACAAACATTTAAATTTTCTCTTAAAGCACTGATAATGGAGGAAACAGACGCGAATAGATAGATAGATAGATAGATAGATAGATAGATAGATAGATAGATAGATAGATAGTGTTATGCCATAATACCTATTCTATTGTAATGGACTTTCCCACAGATAATAAGTAGTAGTAGCAGAGGACAGTTCGGCTCAGTTGTGTTGAGCTAGTCAGACGATATCGGACATTGAAGTACCAACCATCACAACTAGATTGCTGCGTCATTAACTCTTATTTCCAAGTTCCTAACGTTTTGTACGTCGAACCTAATTTAGGACGACTTATTGAAATACAAGCCTCCACTGTGAAAACTATTCTACAACAGATAGATAGATAGATAGATAGATAGATAGATAGATAGATTTGTATTTTCTTTAATTGAGCGTCAATAAGACATTTTTTTTTATTTTCCTCTTTCTAATATTTTCCGTTCTTACCTGTAAAAACTTTTATGTTTTATTTGATTAGCCGCATTTATATTGACAAGTGAGCTTACCAAACGGCAAATTGGTAAGCTTTCGCTAAATCAACGTGCAAACAGAAAGTCGGGGCTGTTCAGCAAAGATTCAACTCCACAGTCGAGATTGGTTTGGTGAACGTCAGCTTTAGTCTCTGCGGATGTTTTCGGGCGGGAGACGCGAGGTGACGCGTGCACTGATCCAAACCCGATTGCTTTCATCACAAAGAAACTTGATTTTCTTTCTCTTTCTCTCTATCTTTCTCTCTCTCTCTCTCTCTTCACCTGTCTCTCTCTTTATCTATCTATCTATCTATCTATCTATCTATCTATCTATCTATCTATCTACCTGTGCATCAATTTATGAGTGCTGCTGCATGTGTATGTGTCAATGACGGCAATCTAATCACAGTCACTTTCCCACCCACACCCCTAATCAACCAAGTTTCTTTCCTCGGATTGATTCAGTCGTTTTTTTATTTTCTCCTGTACCCACCCCCTCTCATTTTTTCTTCCGTTTGCTTTCTTTCTTTCTTTCTTTCTTTCTTTCTTTCTTTCTTTCTTATTTTTTAAACGAAGGTGAGGGAGGGAAGTACCCAACTCCTTCTACTTCTATTCTTTTTTTCTTGTACCAATTGGACGGTGGGATACAGAACAAGAATCGTCGGATGGGGACGGGTTGGAGGAGGCGAAGTGCTAATTGGAGGAGACTTGTCAAATAGCCAAGTCCCTATGCGCCCGGTGAATCATTTAAAATTGAATCAAGTGAACAAATTCCCAAAGCAATTAAGAAAGGAACGAGTATTACTTATAGATGTCCAATGATAGACATTTGCTTTGTGCCCGTTGGCGGCGGAGGCAGTCGTGTAAGCATTCTGTTTCAATGTTCATTACGTATATTTCTTCACACATAAACCTATCTACAAGGGTACGAATGCATATATATATATATATATATATATATATATATATATATATATATATATATATATATATATATATATATATATGTGTGTGTGTGTGTACAACATCTATACAACAATGTATGTATGACTCTACACACACACACACACACACACACATATATATATATATATATATATATATATATATATATATATATATATAACATTATAGGGCATAATTATAAAAAATGCATAGAGAAATGTATGACTACATATATAAATGCATGTTCGTGTGGTATACCATATTTTTATATGTGAGTTCATCTCTCTCTTTATTTTGTATGTCGCTCTCTCTCCCCTCTTTATATATATACATATATATATGTGTGTGCGTGTGTGTGTGTGTGTGTGTTATTGTGTGTGTGTGTGTGTGTGTGTGTGTGTGTGTGTGTGTGTGTGTGTGTGTGTGTGTGTGTGTGTGTGTGAGGATAAAGAATATATTTGTGTGTGTGGGTACTCGCATAAAATTAAGACGATAATCATATAATGTCATATATAGAAAAAAAAGAAGTAGATTTTGAGTATATTATTATTAATTCCATTAATGACCGTGTCAGGGTTGACTAGGTTGGTGACAACTTTCTTTTGCGACAGTCTGTATAAGCATTGCGAAAATTGTTTACCTAAGTTCATATTACCAATCTCTCTTCTCCTGTCAAACATTAAGGCATGTCAGTGACGAGATATTTTGTCAAGGTGGATAATAATTGAACAGTGCACAGGGAGAAGTGGATTTATGCCTTTGCCAACAACTTTAGGGCGAAGTGAAAATCAGCCAAAATTCTAACTTTGCCGAATTCGTTTGTTTGTGTTGTCTCGTTCCTACACACACACACATACACGCGTGCGTGTGTGTGTGTGTGTGTGTGTGCGCGCGCGCACGCGCGTATTAATTAGTACATATACGCGTACCTACGTTTTTGTTTCACTGGGTGGTGTTCCCAGTTCGTCAGGCACGTGGTCTGTATTGCCGGAAGTAGAAAAATCACTCTACACTGATGCGATGCTGATAGCTTACATTTCTTAGAAAAATTAGCGAAATATGAGGGGTATATATATATATATATATATATATATATATATATATATATATATATATATATATATATATATATATATATATATATATATATATATATATATATATATGGGGCGAGTGGTTAGGACGTTCGCTTTCTGACTATGAGACCAAGGTTTGAGTTCAGATTGTTGATCACGCTAGATAACACGCTCTCTCCCAAAAACTGTAACTAAGGTCTGCTCAGCATAGTTGCAGTATAAACCACAGGTGGACTCTGTGGGTGTTGAAGAAAGCGAGCGTCTGCAATAGGAATTGGCTAGCCGCCCTAATAGACGGGTATCCTCGAATACAAGTGGCCAACTATTATATTATGTATGTATATATGTATCTCTCTCTCACTCTATCTATCTATCTCTCTCTCTCTCTCTCTCTATATATATATATATATATATATATATATATATATATTTATTTTGTGAAATTAATCTCTATTTTTTCAACAAAATCTTGTAACTTTTTTTTAATAATTACAATGTTTCACTGATCCCATTGCTCGAACATTATACAAGGAAAATGTCAGATCAAAAGTGAAGAAGCGGATAGAAAGCTAGAAAAAAACCTGAAGCAGTAAATGGTATGCACAATGGAAAATAAAATTATAATTTTGCAGAGAAATTTGCTTCATTTTCGTATGAGATTCATTATTCTATCTTACCTATAAACTTATTTTATACAATTAGAGACCTTACTTATCAATCAGTGCACGTATAAATGCAGAGATACTAATTCAAGGTTAAAGGCCTTCGACAAAGTACGCCACAAGGATCTGGTGGAACTGCTCAGCAACCTTGATATATTCGGAAGAAATATCAGAATAATCAAGAACTTATATTAGCAGCAAACGGCATACATACGCATAGGGAACGAGTTCAATGAATATACGAAAATAGAAAGGGGCGTAAGGTAAGGATAAGTCTTCTCACCCGACCTGTTCAACCTATACAGAGAGGCAATTGTGATAGAATTGGAAATCCTACTGGGATTTAGCATTGGCGACCTGTTATGTAGTGGTTTCACAGTGGAGGCTTGTATTTGTACTAAGTCGGTCCTAAAATAGGTTCGACGTACAAAACGTTAGGAACTTGATATAATAGGTAATGACGCAGTAATCTAGTTGTGGTGGCTGATACTTTAGTATCCGACTAACGGTTGTCCGACATCAACTGACTGACCAACTCACTGAGGACATTCAGTCACCACCCCACGAGGGTGTCATGTGGCACAAGGCCGGTTTAACGTGAGATCTCCGAGCCCGTGGTCTCGGCCAAAAATTGTATAAACGGGTTCAGGGTCGGTTTACCTCCCCGGACGAGACTCCGCCCTTCGGCGTAGCCACGTTTGGGTTCCTCCCCGCCCGAAGGCAGAGAGTTCAACCGGTCAGCTAGTCGTGCGACTTCAGACTGAACTCAGATCGACACACTGAGCGACTCAGCGACGGCTACTACTCCTACTTATTATAGATGGGAGAGTCTATTAACTATAGAATAGGTGTCTTCCACTATAACAAGACCAAAACCTTAACAACATAAGATACGCAGAAGACACAGTACTGATAGCAGACACGGAAGAGAAATTACAAAATTTTCTTACAGAAGGTAGCGACGGAGAGTGAGAAGAAAGGAATAAGCATAAACTACAAGAAGACAGAATGCATGGTCATCGGTAAGAGGAAGAGTCTGAAATGCGATTTGTAGGTCGGGAACACTAGAATCAAACAGGCGCAGAAGTTTAAATATCTGGGAAGCGTCTTGACAGAGGACGGTAAGTGCGGCACTGAGATCCGTAGACGTATTGGGATGGCCAAGGAGACATTCCAAAAGCTGGGCAGAGTATTGCGAGACAAGAGGATCTCTTGTTAATAAAGAAAAACTACTGAGCTGTTACGTAACATCTGTTCTTTACGGCAGTGAATGTTGGACAATTTCCTCAATGATGAAGAAGAGACACGAGTCGACGGAGATGTGGTTCTACAGAAGGATGCTAAGGAGCGAGCATGTGGACAACGATGAGGTCTTAGAGAGGATGCAAACAAGAAGGAGGCTTATACTTAACTTCAGAAAGAGGCAGCTGAAGTTTCTGGGGCACATAATGAGGAAGGAGGGCCTGGAGAACCTGATACTCACGGGTCAAAGGGAGGGAAAGAGAGATAAGAGAAAGCAGCGCGTGACATACCTGACTAGCTTGAGCAGGTGGACGACAGAACGTGGAAGGAAGCAGAGGGAAGGAATTGTTGAGAGCTGCAAGGGATAGAGGGAGGTGGAGAGCTATGATCGCCTACGTCCAAAAAAGGACATGGCACATAAAAAGAAAAGTAAATAACCAGACAACTTACAGTAATTAACATGTGTGCATCTGCATAAGTCATTATGTAATATAAAAAATTGTCTGTGTAATCATACACGAAGTGATAGTGTTCTTTATTTTGAGCGCAAATTTCCTTCAACTAACACGCAGTTTTTCTCCAAAAGACGTTCTTCAAAACCCACCTTGTGCGTCAAACGACGAAGGAAAAAAATCAACCCGTTGAGGTGACTGGGATCCACAAATTCCTACTTTCCTGGAAGGCCTTGAATTAAATCCTGAAGGAAATACATCCAAAATTTTATTACAATTCAAAAACTAGAACAACTAATCGTGTATAACTAACTGAAGAATATCACTGCTATAAATTTTAAGTAGTTACATTTGTATAATGATTTGCTTTAAGTAAAAGAGATATCTATCTCTTTTACTTAAAGCAAGATAGATAGATAGATACTTAAAGCAAGATAGATAGATAGATACTTAAAGCAAGATAGATAGATACTTAAAGCAAGATAGATAGATAGATACTTAAAGATAGATAGATAGATACTTAAAGATAGATAGATAGATACTTAAAGCAAGATAGATAGATAGATACTTAAAGCAAGATAGATAGATAGATAGATAGATAGATAGATAGATAGATAGATAGAAAAAGATTAAGAAAGAAAGAAAGAAAGAACGCACGTTTGCATGCACGCAAGCACGTGTATACAGGTTTGAACGTATATCTGATTAATATTTTACATGATGTATTCTGGCATACGTAATATATAACCTAACACACACACTCACGCACACACACACAGAAAAGAGAAAGATATTTTCTTAAAAAACGAATCAATTAAAACCAGAAGAATGCTTCCTTGCATAGTTCTAGTTCTTTACACTGATTCACACATGTAACTCGCTGTTAGCATCTTTACACAAATTCGCGCATACACAGTTGGATCTGCGGTAATTATTTTCTTTGCAAAATATTCTCGTATGTATTCACTCACAGTCAACAGCATATTAATATTGAATTAAATCACAAACATTTTTTTCGTCCTTTTACTTTGTCGCCATTGTTTGTTTGTTCTTTTTTGTTTTGTTTTGTTTTGTTTTTTTTGTTTTTTTGTAGGGTGTTGTTTTTACGTATTTCAGAGTTTGGGTTCAGGTTTAGTTCTTTTTCTTTTAGACGGAGAAAGATTAGAACCGAAACGAGGCTAAAGATTTCAGGAGAGCAAAATAAGAAACCAATTCCAGAATGCTATGCAGTTATTTGTAACGATTTCGGTGTTGCTTGTTAACCTTTACTCATTAGTTATTATTGATTGCCTAATTATTTTTTGTTGTAGATTATCTTATTAGATTTACTTGAGTTCATGTG